AGGAGGCTATTGTTTCAGTAAAATACGGGACCCAAAAAATAATGGAGATTCGCACGTTTCTGGAGTTACGCGACGTTCGTGAGAAAGTTTGGAATTCTTTTTATCTTGAAAGCTGTATAAGTAATATTAACTTGTCTAACGGACGCGTGCAAATCAAAATATCCGACTTTTTTATCCAAGAGTAGGTGGATACCTGTATTTTTTTTTAGTTCATTTTTTTAATATATTGTTTTATATATTGTTCGCTGGTTACTTGTATTGAACAGAATTATATTTAATTTTCACGTTTTCAACATTACGTAATACAGATACATATATTACAAAACCAACGTACATAATATACTATGTAATAACCTCCATTTATTGGGTAAACATCAGGTGTGTACAAAAGTTCATTTATTGCTTATAGTATCCGGACATCACTGTATGTACAAGAAAAAAATATTTATCTAAGAAAAGAAAAGTCAAAATTAAAACCATAAAGTGAAATACTTAACTATGTATATATTTAACAATATGAAAAACCTGTTTTCGATTATAATCATGTGGCAACGCTGGCCAAAAGTCCAACATCACATTAAGTGTTTTCATACGCAATAAATCTTTGAATGCTCTATAATCAACGTCAGTCAAGTTGACATGACATAGTCCAGAAAACGATCCTGGGCCCCCTCGATTCGACAAATAATAGGGAAAATTGGATTCTGATGATTTTTTCCAATCCTGCAATATCTGGAATTTCATAAATAGGTCCCAGTAATTCCGTTGGTCAGATGCTATACATTGTATAACCCAGAATCGGATGTTGACTACGCATTTGCATATAGCGTTTGAAATGAAATATAATAAGTGGAGCAACCCTAAATCTGTGGGATGACCAATAAAAAATTATTTATTTTTGTTTGTGCATTTTTTTTTAGAAAATATTTAAGCCTAGGTACATTCATTTTTTGTTACCTTAAAGAGACTCTTAGGGTTGGTAGGCTTTCTAGACAGATTGAGTTTTCTGATATGATTATGTAAAGAATAAATATTGGAACTAATAATTTAATATGTCGGGCAAATGTACACCGCTAGCCCCTTTTGCAACAACGCTTCACTTATCTCGTCAACGCAGCACTTAATTGTATCTTTCAGGGCATCTGTAGTTTGTGATTTGTTTAAATTGACATAGCCAAATCTAGAAATAACTGAATTGTTTAACCGGCTGTGTGGTTCGTGGGCCGTCTTACTGAAGCCGCAGGTCAACATTAGCTAATTGCGGCAGCAAAAAATCGGTTATCATAGTTTGGTGGCGCAGACAATTCAAAGTAACGGCGTTTTCTTCCATATTATCAAAAAAATACATACATTTGATGCCGCCCGACCACAAACTGCTCCGCAGCTCACCTTCTTTATGGATTTTGTCAGCCCCATGTGCGATAATTTTGCGTGTTTACGTAACTACTTAATTCAAAATATCATTAAATAAACAACAAAATCATTTAAGTTGATTTTGTGGAAAATGTGTTGTATTCGCTCAATTTTGGTTACCACCAATTCACAAACGCTCGATGCCGACTTTAATTCTTAAATGAGTTGAGCTTGTAAACAAAGCGTCTAGTCTGGTGATGCCCAATTGTTTCTCGAACAACGTCGACTTACGTAATTCTCAACATTTTGCTGCCCAGTGGCTATGTTTGCGTCAATATAGCCTCGACGAATTTATTACTTTGGTCTTTTTTCAGCAGTACCGTGAGTCTCAAATTTAGCGATTAAATTGTGCATAGCGATCACAGGAGGAGGAAGAGCTGCTCGAATTTTACGAAGTGAAACAATAAATTTTGCGAGTAAATTTTCACAATTAAAATTCATTGTTCAAGAATGTAACGTCCCATGGCTAAAATTTCCCAAGTTTTTCCTAAGTAAATGACAAAGGATAACAGCGTAATTCATACATTTCATCATTTGACACCCTATTTATTTTCTAACCTCAAAAACGTTTTTGTATCCCTTTTCGTTTTTTTAATTAAAAAATTTAACAATACTTTTTAAACTTGAATACTTTTTAAATACGTTTGCCACCTAGAAGGCATACCAAATGCAGTACGCTATCTCCAACATACGATATGATGACACTGGTGTACCCATCTTAAGGTAAGAAAAGATTTTTTTAAATTACAGAAGTAATAATATGACAATACATTAAAACTTCCTGATTATAATTCCTTTCAAATGTTTATCTCTAAATATATTTATTTTATTTGTTTTTAAAATAACGTATAGAATCACAGCCGGATCTTCCTTATTCAGGATCAATAATTCTTTCAATTTTGGTTAGTTTTGGTATAGTATTTAATATTGACATAATATAATCCTAGAAAATGAAACACAACACATTTTCAAACCCATGCAAGAGGTAAAAAAACGATTTTACAAAGACAACTGTTGGAGTTTAGGTGAATATATCGAGTTCTATCAAAAAAATGTAGTTGATTGAAAAAATGGTATGAATGTTCCAATCATATTCGATAACAGCTTTTTAAAAATTAAAACTCACATTCGTTTCGGTAATATTATCGGAATATGATAACAAATATTAATTGAAATTCACAATTTCTGGTAATAAAAGGCTAATAATAATTAATGCATCAATAAACATCAACTTCAGTTTTATTTACTGCCGATTTTGCCGAAATGACAGTAAATAAACCATCTGTTTTGAATGTAGGTAGGAAGTTCTTTTTGATTAACAAATGCACGATATCTGATTAAAAAAAACTTAGAAATCCAAAACTTCCTAATCGGAAACAATGGTGCATGCGCCAGATCAAAACTTTTAGTGACGGGAAGTCCAAATGGTTTAGGTAACTCACTAATGGAAGTAGTTCAAAAACTTATTTTAAAATTTTTTGGATATACTGGGCGTAATCTAAAATGTTTAACTAAAATAAAAATACACTTAAACTATATTAATAATTTAATTAATTTTGATAATTGCATGGTGATTTCCACGAACACGCAATTGTTTATATGTGTGTAAACTGCAACATTTTGTTCTAAGCAGATTAATTGTTCTAGGCGTTGTAACAAAGTACAATATACAGTAATTTAAACATGACCACTGAACCGTATAAATACTAAATTCTGAACCATATTTTATACGTTTCAACTTGACTAATGTTTTCTTGTATAGAGGAAGCCAGGTGTTCTATTAATGTTAAATTTACAGTTTGCCACTTTGTCAGTACATGTGGTAAAATTTATCGCTGCCTTCTCGTCTCACTCAGATACCGCGCGCTCTACCGGGCAAAATCCGAAACCCCATGGCTCTAAGCTTTGGCAAGAGTGCTTTTCGGCGTTCAACTCCGCCCAGAAAGCTGCAGAGCTTTTATATATTGATCCGAGGCCCTTCGCGCTCAATATAAAAGCTTCCAAAGTTGAGTGGTTGTAAGTTAGAGGGCGCTGCAGCGGGTGCTATACGCTTTCCAGAAAACCTGAAGCGCTTTATCGATTTTCTTATTGCTTATCGAGGTGGCCGTTAACTTCAACTTTATTTCCATAGATGGAGACTGATTATTTAATGTTTTCAAAATAAATTCTAGTGCAAAATCTAATTTAGATATAAGTTTTTAATATAAGATACCTCGATGTTAAAAAAATATTTATTTAATTCATTTTAATTTATCTTCAACAATTTTATTGTTTGAATTTTAATGATCGAAAACAGGATATGTGAATTCAACGGTTTTAATTAAAACGCTTTTTAAAATTTTAAGCTTTGAAATACCTCCCTAAATAACTGAGGCCGAATATTAACCGGTATTAATGGATTAATATTTTATACAGACGTAGCCAGTTACAGCAGTACACTTTGTAATGTACGGTGAGATGTCAAAAAAGTTAACTATTAGGCATATACTTACTAGGTTACATTAAATTTTTTATTTGCAGTTATTGTTTTTCCCAAGATCTTACATTTTATTTGTTTAAGATGTACGTTCTTATTAAATTAAAGTGTGAATTTAAGGTAGTTTTACGACAAAAATGAAGGAACTATAAATTCCTTCTTCTTCTTACTCATATTTAAGAGCTCGTGATCTGTTAGTTTTGTTAGTTCCTCTGTATCCTGGGAGGTGGAATGCCAGCTGTCCTTCCATCTCTTAAGTGGTTTTCCGGGTGTTCTTTTCCCTATTGCTTTCCCTTCAGTCTTCTCTCTTACAATCTTCTCACATGAGCATACCAATATCTTTTTGTTTGTCTCCCCCATTTTTCAATGTCTTGCACCCCACATTATTCCCTGATGTCAGTGTTCCTAATTCGCTCTCTTCTTGTTTTTCTCACTATAGTCCTGAGCGTTTTCATTTCGGCCATTTGAAGCATGCTTTTCGTTTTGTTGATTTCTTCTCTGGTTTCTATTGCGTATGTTATGATTGGCCTGGTACAGTTCTTATAGATCCCAATCTTGCTATGCTTTCGCATGTATTCATTCGCCCATATTATCTGCCTAAGCAGCCCGACATGGCAGTCGCCTTGTTGATCTGGCTTTTCAGGTCCTTTACTGGGACGTGATAACTCGACAGATCCATATTCAGACATTTAAATTGTAAGAGTTGCTCGATGATTTTGTCCTGAACTACCAGCTTACATTTTAAGGTCTCTTTAGCAAAGGTCATGCTTTTAGTTTTGGCTGACCTGGAAGAATTTGTGTAGGTGTCTCTGTAGATCGTCCACTGCTTCCGCGTAAATAGCTGCATCATCGGCGTAGCATACTGTAGGTTTGTTTATCGTTTGTCTAAGGTTCTGAGGAAATAAATACACTTCGACTTTCTGACAAATTAAGTAAGACTATATTTTCACTTATTTACACAGCACACAACAACAACTTCTTTCAATTCAAATTCAACAATTCGTCTGCCCGCCTTTCGTCTTACAATTCATCTACCTATCTTTCGCCTTTTTAAAGAAAGAGTAAGCGGCACGGCTTTCCGTATTACTAACGTTTGTTATGTCGTTTTCGTCTAATCGTCTAATACATAATGCTCCTGGCCAAGTTTCGTGACCTGCTTTCTAACCTTTCGTCGGTACGCATCAAGAGTAGACCCGAACTCCAGGAACCACCGCAAAGCGGCTTCGTTCTGAGATCGACTCACGTCCGTTAAAAGAAATAATGTAAACACACCCCTCTATAATTGCATGCAGACATAATAAACAAAGAAATACCGCGCTGGTAAAAACTACACTAATTATAATTCTTTTATTCCGTCCCATTCGGTACCCCATATTTCGTGATGATACTTCCTGTATAACTCTGTCCATTAAGAGATTGAACAGAAATGGGCTGGCAGGATGGCACCTGGTGTCGGTATCTTTTCTGTATAAGTGTCTCCTGTCTTTACTTTAGTTATTCATATTGAGACTGCGGACTGCTCTTACGATGGGGTCTGGTTTTCCTGTAGCTATCAGTATACTTATCAAATGCCTTGGTCAAATCGATGAAGCAGACATACGCTGGTGTATTGAATTCGATTGATTTTTCTTTTAGTTGGTTGATAATGAATATGGCGTCGGTCGTGGATCTGTTTCATCTGAAGCCTTATTGTTATTTGAGTTTTAAGTCTTTCCTTCAAAATGCTGGTAAACAGATTCGTGAGCGTGTTCAACAGCGTTATGCTCCTGTAGTTGTCTGGGTGCGTCTTCTGTCCTTTCTTGAAAATAGGAATAGTTATACTTTTGTGGCATTCCCTCGGTATTTCCGATGTTTCTAAAATATTGTTGTAGAACATTTTTAGATGTTTTCCTAGCTCAGGTGCGGTCTGTTCCAGGAACTTTCCAGTTTTTACATTTTCTCTTCGTTCAGTGATATTTAATGATTTGTCTCGTAGTTTTCGATGCTTATGACTTCTTCGGTGTTATAAACTTCCCTGAAATATACATCTTTGGTAACTCCTTTTGTTTGCAAAAACTCATTTATTGACCTTTTTCCTGTTCTTGAGCATCCTCCAGACTTTCTTCTCTGCTCCATATAGGTCTTGACCCATATCGCTTGAAAATTTCGTACAGTAATCATAATTAATAATTACCATAATTTTAAAACAAAATAAAAACATTTATTTATGGATTCTTTTATTATTTTACAGTTTAATTTTTAACGTATTTAATTTATTACATAATAGGGTACCATATTTTCATTATCAATTTAACTTATAAATTTTCCGTTAATATATAAGAAAACCTGGGAGGTAAATGTAAATAGTAACTGCACTACGTCAATCGAACCTTTGTCGCTGCGGAAGTACTTTTTCTATTAACCCATAGAACATTCTTAGGCGTTCTCTTTCAAATGGAATAGCAAAAAATAGACCGCGCTTAGTACTCTCTAGAGGTACTACTGCGTTTTATACGACCACACAGCAGCGAAATAAGCCAAGTCGCATATATTTACGATCGGTGGCAATACGTCAAGCATAAGAATTGCAATAATTAAATACTAATAAAATAACACTGATGAAACGATTTGATTATTCACCAAGTGTATACGCGATGTGGTAGGTTCGGGATACGTGCAAATATTTTTAACGCCGATCTGTGAGTCTAGGTGGGCCAACGCCACAAACTCGATTTGTTTTGTTGTTTTTTATCTATCTTGATCCGGCCGATTACCGACTATTTTACCTATAAATAATTGTTGTGTAACTGGGGGCAATAACAATTAACCCACTGTCTTATACGCAAAGGAAAAATTATGGATATGGAATATCGATGGTTTTTAAGGTAATTATTGAAAATTCCTTGCCATTTGATGATTAATTAAATCTTTTTTTTTTAAATAGAAAATAACTTGTTCTTCCTATCGCCAAGAAGAACAATTCCGAGAAACGATCGTTTGTTTTAAATTTCTGCTATTAAAATATTTAAGACAAATGTACAACAAAATATAAATATTTTAAATTCCTCAGACAATGTGCAAAGATTTTATTTCTACGGGGCAAAACGTTATACCCCTTCATGCAGTTTGCCATTAGAGGATCATAGTCAGCATACGAAAATAAAGAGTTACATTCCAAATCTTCAAAACTTTGGCTGTTGGTATAATAATTGTGTCAAAATTTTGAAGTCTATTAAAATATTCTAAACCATGATGTATAAATTAAAATAACAATAAACAACAACAAAAAATAACAAGACAATCTGTTAAAACGTTAAACTAGTTCAAAGAGTTTAGAATTCTTTAATTAATTATCCTTGCAAAGATTTTTTTACCTACATAAGTACCTTTGCCTATATACTTTTTGAAGAAACACACAAAACGTTATACCTCTGAATGAAATTTAGCATTCACAGGATGATAGTCGGCATATAGTTAAATCCAGTGCTATCATGCGGGTTCAAAGGCTACTAATGATATGAATCAAATCAAGGAGAGGAAAAATAGTTTCATTATTTTATGTAGTGTTGTGATAGTGTTAGAAAGTTAAAAAAACAAAATTATATTAATAATTTCGGTAACTTAATAATAAACTGAATTACATTCTATTAGTAACAATTCAGTTTATTTTAGCACTATCTAAAATCAGTCGAATTTAATCCGAAAAATTTCTTCAACGAATAAAAAGAATATGAAAATTTGCCAGCCAGTCCCCAGGAAATCATAAAACAAGAATACTAAAAAGTGAAGACTTACATTTATAACATACATAAAGAACTCTTTTCCCGTGCCACATCAGTTTTTCTCTGGATACTTTTTATAGACTCATCTTGCTAAGATTTTGGAAATGGATTGGAGAATGTACACTTTTCGTCTAACAATACAACTCTGCCAAATTTTGATATGTAATTTTCACTACATTTCTATAAAAATTAAACACGCTGACTCACTATCTGTTCCATAAAAGTGTTTGAAAACCTAATATTCTTATTAATTTTGATACGTTTTTAACACTTCCTTTCATAACTGGAAGATTTTTGATTTATTTAAATCATAAATCACATAAGGAAGTTCCATTTTCAGATCTTCCCTTATATCTTTGACTTTCTTCTTCTTTACTTTTTAGTGTGTAGGTTTTATGTTGTTCTTTTTTTCATGCAAATTTTCTGCACAGTCCTTAAGCTAATTCCCAGTGCTCTCGTTACTATTCCCTGGATTTTCGTTGGTCATTTTCAAAATAGTTTATCAAATTGTAAACCGTTGTTTTCGCTTGGATTTGCAAAAAACTAGAAAACTCCTTTTTTTATATCCAGTATAAGTCTGTCTTATTTAAATTACCAGTTTTATTTTTATGGTACGATCAAACAAGAAAAAAGAAAAACAAACGTGAAAGTTTGTTGTTGATAAATCGTAAGAACCTTACCATAAGAACGGATTTGGCGATACAAAAACGAACAGTGAAAACCCACCAAATCTTCAAAACTTTAGCTGTAGCTATAATAGTTTCAAAATTTTAACATTCATCATGTTGCTAATGTAGCTTTGTGGGGGGACCTTATGAACGGCTGTGAGGAATTTTCAACTATTTATCCTTGCAAAGATTTTGTTCACCTACACTTGAGCATATACTTTTTTTAGATGAAGATTTGCAAGAAGAAACACTCCAACCGTTGTACCTTTGAATGGAATTTGGCATTTACAAAATTATAGTCAGCATACAAAAATTAACGGTGAGCTTACACCAAATCTTCAAAACTTTAGCATTTATATTAGCAATTAATATCTTTAAAATCCTTTAGACAATCTGTAAAAAAAAACGAGATTTGTATGCTTTAACGGGGCTTCATATCCATGTTGCTGGGGTGCTGCGTACAATCTAGTATTTATTAACAGTCAGTCAGCTATATGAAAGTTAAGAAAACAATTTTGAAGGCGTTTCGGGTAGACAAGTAGTTTGAGCAATCAAAAAGGAAAGAGCATACATTTTAAATCCGTCTGCATCTACTTGCGTTTGCAGTTAAATAAATCATTTGGGTTTTTGGTTGCAACTAACACGATTTTGTTATGCTTTAATTTATATTAGTGTTATGTATGCGTGCGAATTCATTGACATATAGATAATAAACTATTATTATTGCCTATCAACATTAAAAAACCAAAAAATAGGAATCATTATTATTCCTAATAATTCTGTTTAACTCACACCCAACTTTTTTGTGTGGGATGCTTAATAACAATGACTTTTGCACTTTTTAGACATTCGACATCAAAACGGAGAAAATGAAGACAGATAATAGCACGTTTATTTTTGATAAACGTGCTACGATGTTTAAAAAATCCTAATTTTAAAAATTTAGATCTTTTCGGCATAGTTATCTATCTTATGAAGCAAATAACAAAAAAATAATAATTTTGTTGTTTATTTATCCATTTATAAATATGTGAGTGGATGGGTGATAACTGCATCCACTAACTCAAATGGTCGAAAAATAGGTTGACATAGTTCTAGACGAATCAATATGATCGAAATGACTTTCTGAAACCGATCCGGTTAAAATAATATATCAAACTCCCGTTCGCAATCTCGACCCCGCGGTATTTCGAACGAAAGCTTATATTTATAAATTAAAAATCCAAAAATTCCCATAAATCACATCCCGCAAAAAAGGCGCAAAAAAGGAGCAGAACAAACCGGCACTGCACAACACCTCTCGAGAGAGTTAAAACGCTCGCGAGCTCGTATATCTCCGCCGTTTCCTCCGACTTCTATGAAATTCATAAATCTAAGGAAGCCATGATGTATTATATGGAGGCCATGCCGAAAAGGGCAGCGGCCTCGGCCGGGTCCCCGAGAATAACACAACGGTTCGAGTCTTATAACACGTTGCTTTAGATCTGGGAATTAGAGAAAGTCCGAATCGGGTCAACCCACAAGAGCCTAGAAGGTTATTCCATTATTAGAATCAGGCGGTGGGTGATTAATGGTTTATTTTTGGATCCAATTTAGGCGTAGCCTTCAAAGGAACCGCTCCAACTCGGTTGGTTATGCCTCCGAATTGAATAGAATTGATTGACTAATAAATTAGGACTAACAATTTTTCTTTAAAATCCAAAGATATTTCCGTGAGTTCACAGCGAAAATGTGTAATAAGTCTAAAAGTGCAACCATAGCAACCAGACCAGGCAATTACCATTTTGTCATTGTTTGAAAATGAGAAGATCGATAATTTGGCAGCAGTAGAGCTGATGATCAGGAAAATTCTCTCATGTTACGCATAAAATCAATGATGGGGTGGTAAGAAAGACTAACTTTGAACAAATTTATTAAATATTATGTATTATGTAATATGTGTTACAATTGTCAGACATTGGGCGGTTATTTTGGTTACATTTTTTTAATTGTCACTGCTTCTGCTGATGTTCATGTCAATGGGGCATTGGACCAACATCATACGTAAGAGTTAAATAAAACTAACCAAAACACAATTATTGAAAATAAAAATATCGCCGATCAAAGCGACAATGACCGTAATATATACACTACTTTTTGTAGGCTTAAAATTTATTGGAGCAGTTTCGAGATATACCTACTAAAAGTAGTAATAACCTTTACTAATTTAGAAGTAATTATTTATTCTGAGCACTGAATTCAAGAATTGCAAAGGCTTAGATATATGGTATATGGTTCAAGAATTTTATACGCAACAAATCAAGGGATCATAATGTTTCTTTGCCCATAGTATTATAGTATATTTTAAATTATAAACTACGCAAGGTAAAAAAATATTCAGATAAAAATGACATAATCTACTTTGTTATTTTCTTATTATTTTGACAAACAAAATTACAAGTACAATG